TTCCTGAGCATTAAGTGCCGCCCTTTCTATCTGCCCCGTGAGTTCACCTCAGTCATCGCCACGGCGGTCTACATCCCACCCCAAGCGGACACAGGTATGGCTTTGTCCGAATTACATGATGTGCTGAGCTCGCTTCAAAACAAGGACCCGGGCGCAGCCCTCATTGTAGCAGGAGACTTTAACAAAGCGAACCTCAGACAAGTCATGCCAAACTTTTACCAGCATGTCTCGTGTCCAACGAGAGGGGATCGGATTTTGGATCACTGCTACACGCCATACAAGCAGGGCTACAAAGCGGTCTCACACCCGGCTTTTGGGAAGTCTGACCACAACGCCATCTTCCTCATCCCCCAGTATAAACAAAGCATACGGAGGGAAGACGTGACCACGAAGGAAGTAAAACGGTGGACTGCCCAATCAGAAGCTACGCTACAGGACGCACTCAACGACGTAGACTGGGACATGTTCAGAGCATGCGCAGTCGACATCAACGAGTTTACGGAAGTAGCAGTATGCTTCGTCAGTATGCTAGCGGAGGAGATTATCCCCACTGCGAGAGTCACCACATTCCCAAACCAGAAACCGTGGATGGACAGATCGATCCGCACTGCAGTAAACGCCAGGACCGCCTCCTACAACGCGGGTCTCGCCACTGGCGATATGAGCGCCTACAAAGCGGCCTCATACGGCGTGCGGCGCGCGGTGAGAGATGCCAAACGCCGGTACCGGGAACGTGTGGAGTCCCACTTCCACCAGGGCGACACACGGAGTATGTGGCACGGACTACGCACCATTACGGACTACAAAGCCAGGGACACTGCGCCGATCAACGTCGACTCTGCATTCACCAACGAGCTGAATCGGTTCTACGCCCGTTTCGAGGTTAGCCAGGCGGCTAATGCTATCTACCGCCTGACTACCGAGGACAGTGACGTCATCAGCGAGAGACCGGTGACCAGCATCGCGGAGCGTGACGTCCGAGCGGCACTGAGGAGAGTGAACACAAGGAAAGCGGTGGGGCCAGACGGCATCACCGGCCGTCTGCTGCGCTGCTGTGCTGACCAGCTAGCAGGTGTGTTCACTTACATCTTCAACGAGTCCCTGGCGAAGTCTGTGGTCCCCACATGCTTCAAAAGATCCACCATCATCCCTGTGCCCAAGAACAGCAAACCCTCATCCCTGAACGATTACCGGCCAGTTGCACTGACCTCGGTAGTAATGAAGGTGTTTGAGAGGCTGCTGAAGAACATCATCTCCTCCTCCATCCCAGACACCACAGATCCGCTGCAGTTCGCCTACAGATCCAACAGATCCACAGAGGATGCCATCGCCCACGTCCTACACACCACTCTCAGCCACGTGGACAAGAAACAGAGTAACTATGTGCGAATGCTGTTTGTTGATTACAGTTCAGCGTTTAACACAATAGTGCCCTGCAGACTGTTCACAAAGCTGAGGGATCTGGGACTTAACAGCCGTCTGTGTGCATGGGTGTTGGACTTCCTCACTGGCAGAACTCAGGTGGTGAGGGTGGGCAGTAGGGCTGGGCCATATTATACCGTTCACGGTAATACCGGTATAATGTTAGGCAACGATAGGAAAATGAAACGCGCATGCGCAGTGCCTTTGTTTTCATACGCACATGGCCGATTGTTGAGTGAAACAGATGAACCAGAATTGGTTTGTAAAAATGATGCAACTTCCGTGATGTGGAACTGGTTTGGTGTTTGTCCGTCAGATACACAACAAAGCACATTTTTTTGCAGAACATGCAAGCGGCCGTTGTTATTGTCGTATTTGTCGGACTAAGATGCTCTTAAATCTGGGAGTAATCTGGGTCCTAAACTCCGTATGCTTCAGGTCAAACGAACACTGCAGCATCACTTAGAGTTAAAAACTGTCTAAATTCTTTCATCTTTAATAAAACGATCAGCATTGCTGCTTTACCAGGTGTAACTATAAAGTTTAACTTCCAGGCATCCATGAAAACAAAAGTTATTACATTTAACGGAGTTAGAAGTTAGCAGGAAGCTAGCGGAAGTTAGCTCGCTAGTTTCGCTAGTTACCTAAGCATGATATAGCATGTTCTGACGGAGAGATTTCTGAAAAAAAATCAAACGTACAGCTCTGCTATCACTTCCAACATAAATGAAGACAGGAAACTAAACAGCAGTGACGTTTGTAGGGTTACTGAAGTTGGGCTAGCTGGTATATAATGATGTGCTACGTGATCGCTAGCGACACAGCTATGTTAGCATAACATAAACAGTGAAGCTGGAGGACGAACACTAACACTTTTCCACTTATAAAAGTTAACGTGAAGGTTCTTCATGGTTAGAGACAAATGCAATCGCATGGCAGGATGCTGTAAACGGACCAAACTTCAGTCAGGAGAACAACTGAGATAATCCATCCATAATACGAGGTTAGTCATTAATATTATAGTAATGTTGTGGAGTTGTATTTTGTCTCGCATCAATTATATCGTCGGTTATATCGTTATCGCAAATTTTCAAATATATATCGTGATAAATATTTTTGGCCATATCGCCCTGCTCTAGTGGGCAGGTGCTTCTCCAACAGCATCACCATCAACACAGGAGCACCTCAGGGATGTGTCCTCTCGCCACTGCTCTACTCCCTCTACACTTCAGACTGTGTGGCCACCCATGGCTCCAACACCATTGTGAAGTTTGCTGACGACACAGTGGTGTTGGGTGCCATCTCCAACAACGATGAGATGGCCTACATGGATGAAGTGAAGAATCTGGCATCGTGGTGCCAGGACAACCACCTCCAGCTGAACGTCAGCAAGACCAAGGAGCTCGTGGTGGACTTCAGAAGGGGTCAGCACAGAGACTACAAGCCCATTATCATCAATGGAGCTCCAGTGGAGAGGGTGCAGTCCTTCAAGTATCTTGGTGTCCACATCTCCTCAGACCTGACATGGGCTGCCCACATTCAGGTCCAGACCAAAAAGGCTAGGCAGCGCCTGTATCACCTACGACAACTGAGGAAGTTCAGGGTCTCTCCAAAGATCCTCAGGATTTTCTATACAGGCGCTGTGGAGAGCATCCTCACACAGAACATGACATCGTGGTTTGGGAACAGCTGTGTGAAGGACCAAAAAGCTCTCCAGAGAGTGATCCGTACAGCAGAACGCTGCTGCAGGATTGCTCTCCCCCCGCTTCAGGACACCTACACCAGGAGATGCCGGACTAGAGCAGCGCAGATACTGAAGGACCCGTCCCATCCTGGCAACAAACTGTTCCAACTTCTGCAATCTGGTAGAAGGTTCCGCATCTTCCGGCAAGGACAGAGAGACTCAAGAGGAGCTTCTATCCCCAAGCCATCCGTGCCCTAAACACACACACCCGCCCTCTCACATCATCTATAATTGACTGAGACAGGACTCTTCCAGACACTAAACCAAGGCACAATGTACATTTCAATTCCTTTAATTTTAAATATGTTTATATTGTCTATCCTGTAAAATAGTCAGATATCTATTCATATTAATGTACAGAATTCACCTGCTTGCTGCTACTACTGCACATGCACAATGTATATACTATATGTGTGTATATATATATATATATATATATATATATATAATGTTCTTCCTCTACACCCCCCCCCCCCCCCCCCCCAATTTTTGCACATGTCGAGGAGCGTGTCAGGCTACATTTCACTGTGTGTTATACTTGTATAACTATGCATGTGACAAATAATAAAGAACCTTGAACCTTGAACCTTGTCACTGCTGACTGTGTTGTTGTAAAGCAGCTGCATGTAGCTACTGGAGTTGTTAGATGATCACACAACTGTACATGCATCGTGCATGGATTTAAGTGTTTATGCCCACAGCTACGTCCTTATCGATCCATTACTGTGAGGTGACACTCAGAGGCATCATGGAGACAAACCACACATAGTTTTCCAAGCTGATGGAGATGGAACAGATCAGAGCTCTCTATGGAGGCATTCATCTGATCACTGAGAGCTCTGACTGTGGGCTGCCCATTACTGCAGATGGTAGGCCATCAAGGCCATTCAGGCATCGTCAAAGGAAGGCACAGCTGCAGCTCACACACACATATGCACATATCACCGCACACACACACACACACACACACAGTCTTGTTCCATTTTTGACTCGAGCCAGTAACTTCCATCAGAAAGCTCATCCTCCTTGCCTTAACACGCAGCTCGCCTGTGAAGCACAGTCAGAGGCAGAAGGACGGACCTGGACTTTGAATATACAAATCATGGTGGGTGTTTGTTTAAATGCAGGAATTAACATTTGCATAAGCAGTACTAAAACGACCATGTCTCATATGGTCCTCATAGGTTTCGCCTGACTCTATTTTGATAGATAAGCTACACTTTATAATAGCAAACAAAGGTGACGTGACTCCAGAGTGCAGCAGTTTACACATTCTTCTAACGAGCAAAAGATCCCAGGATCACAAACAAATCCCTCATATGTGAAGCTACGCTGTGTCAGTGAGGGAGTAACTTGGCTCCAGTTCCTGTTGATGAAGTAATGTGGACAGTACCACAGTCTGTACTGTCCTGATCATCTGCACATACTTGTTGTACTATAGCACAGTTAACATTTTTGATTTGCAATGCTGCATTACTCATTCACAGAGTGTCACATACTGCTCTTTAGCTCCTTCCTTAACAAGCAGCTCTTCCTGTTTCACGCTGAGTGCTTGGCGAGCCCGTGCACATCCTGAAACGATTATGTCATATTTTGCAGGAGCAGGTTCACACACACTGCTGCTCGGCGTCATCGTCAACATGCAAATAGCATGACAACAGGCCCTAACCCTGAGCCATGCCCGTGGAGCAACATGAGCTTCCAGAACAGGATGATTTATATTGTGCGATCATTGACCACAGAGCAGCCTGAATCCTTTCTTGCGACTCATGTTCCAGCACATCCATCGTGTTTCTGTCACTCTAACGTAGCGTCTGTGTCATTCTTGTCTTACCTTTCCGGATGCTCTCTTCGATTTCGTGGTCGAAGGCCAGCCGATGGCATTTCCTCCACAGCCCCATGTTGGTGGAGTTATACTGCCTACTACATTCATCTGCGGCGCTCATGGCGAACAGCTGCCGTCTGTTCCGGGCCAAAAGCAGCTTCTCTTGCCATCGGGACACGCTGCTCCGGCTGGCCCGCAGCGGTAGGCTGTTGTTGGGGATGTAGATGAAGCCCGGGTCCTTGCGGCGGCTGGAAAAGCTTCGGCACCGCTCCCTGTACCGTCTGGCGTCTGTCTCGTACCAGTGGTCGGAGCACATCGCCACGGCCAGCATGCCCAGGGCGCAAAGAGAAAGAGAGAGGCCGGCGTAGAGCAGTAACTTCCCCGCAGCCATGCTCGGTTCTGTCACAGCCGCATCAGCACCTCGACAGACGGACAGCTCCTCTGCGGCTTCCCCACCGCTTCAACTCACATCACCTCTGGAGAGCAGCGTCGGGACCATCCTCCGGGTGACCTTTATGTACAAACGGAAGGCGAACCTTTCCGGCGGCACAGTCTGCAGACAAATACGTTTAATCCCCGGACGCGGAGGTTTTCGGTGATAAAGTGCCCACGTCCGTCCTGCGTGCGCGGCGCTGCAGCACCTCGGCGGAGAGAAAAAGACGCTTATCTCATTTCAGCTCCCAGCCACGGATCCGTCTGTCTGATAGGGCGACACCATCAAGCACAAAACACATCAGCACGCCGCTAAGGGTTTAGTTAAACATGTAGTAGGCCATACGTGACACGAACCACTGCATAACCCACCCACTGACAGTAACGATGAACTCGGAAGAGTGCAAACATGCAACGAGTGATTTATACAGCCGTATTTACCGAATGTAAGGGTGCGATTGAAGGAACACGAACATGCACCACCTATAACGTGCAGCTCATAGTTTAGAGAACCAACCTGATGTGTCCACAGAGCCCACGCAGCCGCAGCCCACCAGCCAGAGCACAGCGCAGGGGTATCAGCGCCACAGTCAGCATCCCCAGCACGTCTGAGGGGATGACGGCAGCTGCTACACATCAGGCCTGTGCGCTGACCAATCAGCACCCGTCTGTCTGGAGCAGCGCCGTCAGCTCACGGGCGACTACAGCTGCCCGCGTGAAATCTCCAGTCAGGTTTGATTTTTGATTCGGATTCAACTTTATTGTCATTACAGTTTGAATCTAATCACACGTGCAAGAGCAGTAAGAGCAATAGGAGCAGATTATATACCAATACGGGTAGGAATAAAGGTGGGAATATGAACAGATTATGTACAAATAAGTTAAGTATACAGATGTTTATATTGCTATACAGACGGGCAGATTTACAGGTATTGTATGAACAAATATACAGATGTGCTACAGATGTATCGATCTGTGGTAACCAGATCTACAGAGTGCTGCACTGACATTCACTTAAACGGAAAAATCCAACGAAGCAGCGATGGAGGCGGAGTGGATTCCTCACAGTGTTAGAACATTGTGCTTGAAACACTGAAAGCTGAGCCGTTCCCTTCAAACTAATGGTGGGGGGGGCAAAACAGGAATTTCTGCTGTGAAGTTTCCAAATGTGATCATGTGAAATAGGTTTTCAGTTGTTTCTAGTGTTTTGCCTCAATAAGTGCTTCCTGCAGGAATACAACATATGTTTGACACAGTCACGTGACCATGCATCGCTTCAGCTCCTGAACAGGCTGCTGTCAGTCATAGTGTATAAAGCATATGTTGGTGGACTGACCAGCAGCAGCTGGTATTACTGTTCTTCTGAGTGTTTATTGGTGGAGACATTCACCTCAAAGGTGGTTTTGATAACTATGGTCCATGTTCATGTCTGTGTAGCTCAAACATTTTGGGTCACATTAAAATGAAGGGACAGCTGAAACCATGTTTCCCTGAATTCAAGTAGTGTTGGTTCTTAAACTTTTCATCACCCATAAAGAATATGCCATATTCTGCAGAAACCGGCTATTTTAGGACCCAGAAGAGCTGCTTTTCAGTTAATGTAGGCAATATTGATATTAGTATGTTGTATGCTGTTTATTTAGCCTGACACATTTGTTTTGGAGGTGTTTGAGCACTGCAGCACAAAAAGACATTGAGTCACATATTTAGAAGGAAGCTAAAGGAATTTATGATTGGTCATAATTATGCTGATTGAAGCTGCTTAAACAATTCACTGAGGTACATAAAAAATGCACATTTTAAAAAATTTGGACTGAAAACATCCAGAACAATCTTTCTGTTTCTTCATATCTGGCGCCATCTTCTGTTATTAAAGAGCAATAGACTCCGGGTGCCACCTAGAGCTGCAATCAATTCAGTGATGATTCAAAAGATCCATTCAACTTCTCAAAGTAGCTTCGGCTTAAATGAAAATTGGGAAAAAACTGAACAGAATGAAAAATAATAAATGGTAAAGTATTGATCGAGAGTGAAAGCACAGTCAAAACACAGAGCAGTGTTTGCAGGAAGCTGGCAGGAAACGCTGTGTGTGGCAGGCACATTTGCAGATCCAAATTTCAGACAGCAGACGGGACTGTGCTCGGAAACTGGAACTGGCAAATACCAACAGACAGGTTCAAACAGAGAACTGACACTTAGACAGGACACACAGTAAGAGGGAAACAGACACTAAATACAAGAGGGAATCAGGACAAAGAGGAAACACCTGGAGAACACGGCTGGCAACAGTCTAAGAGGTGAGACGGGGACAAGTGGCTGCAGAATAAAACAGGACACACAAACTGAGGCGCAGACTGACTAAAATACAGGGAACAAAGGGAGAGGGCCAAGAGAGGTGAGAGAAAGCAGACAGACACATAGAAACATGACTGGGAAACAGGCAACTACACCTGGAGAAGAGGAAGACTTCACAGGGAAGGACACAGAGACGAGACCAGGACATGAAAAGGGGCCTAATAACAAACAACACAACCTAAACTAGAAATACAGAGAACAAGGAAAAATAGTCACACAGGGAGCCCAACAATATTAAACAAGACCCTAACAGAACCCTGCTGGAACGGCTCTACATTTAAAATCTTCAGTTGGTAAAAAACAAAATGAAAATGTAATTCTGATGAGCTAAGTCGAAAAAGAAAGAAACACTGACATCCCCTTTACTCAAAGAGCAGCACATCGTAGCCCGACTGAGGTTTGCCCATGAACATTTGAAAGGTAAAGATGAGTTTTGGTAGTCTGTGCTTTGATCTGATGAGACTAAACTGGAACTGTTTCAGCACAGTTGTTGCTTATGTTTGGCGAAGAAAGCCACAGGCCTTCAACCCCAGGGCCCTATTTCAGGAAGCCAGTTTAGTGCAAACTCTGAGTAAGTATACCCTGAGTTAACGGAAACTCTGGGTTTTCGGTTTCACAAAGCGAGTTTAGATTAATTCTGAGCGAGTTACTATGACGACACACTCCGTGAAGCTAACCTGCCCCCTAGCAGGTTTACTTCAACTAACCCTGACTGTCTCCGCCCCTTTGTCGGAAACCTGACTGTAGGAAGTGTCAGACATGGCGTGTCCCTTCCTCGAAGAGCCAGTAGATGTTGAAGCCCAAATTCTCCGCAGAGCTCTCCGCCGGGAGAGAGTGATTAGAGCGCGTTTGGACATTTGATCATTTCCTGATGATTTCCTGTGTGAACGTTACCATTTTTCAGCACAATCTATAATTTATTTGAATAACATCCTCAGGCCTAATATTGCTCATGTGACACATCGCGGACATGCTCTCAGTTCTGTACATATTATTTGTATTGCACTTCGGTTTTTTGCAAACGGGAGCTTTCTGTACAATATTGGTGACGCTGAGCACGTTTCCAAGGCTACCGTCTGTCGGGCAGTCAGGAATGTTACAGTTGCACTGAAACGTCTCCTGTACTCGTTTGTGGTGTTCCCCGGTCACAGACCCACAAGATTCATCAAAGAGGGATGCCACAAAATTGCAGGTATCAGGATGAACGAAACTTAATTCATGATGTGGTGACACTTGAACTACTACTTAAATTTTACATTTATTCTCACGGTTCCCAGGCGTGATTGGCTGTATAGATGGCACTCACATTCCAATCATTGCTCCTTCAGTAAATGAAGGAGACTATGTGAACAGGAAGTCTTTCCACAGCATTAATGTACAGGTACATAGTTCCCTGTAGCATTTCAAACTAACAAATTATTTCATTATAGTAATGGATGCTAATTTGTGTTCTCTGCACTGTGAAGATCATATGTGATGCTGCCAACATTATCACAAATGTGGAAGCCAACTGCTCAGCCTCTGTGAGTGGTGGTGGTGGACCCCCACCTGTTTTTCGGGCCTCCGCTTTTTCTCTAGTGGCCATAACGGAGTCACATTTGAGCATACAGAGTAAGCAAATATGTACTTGTAATGTGCTCAGATAATTTCAATAAGTGCTTACAGAGGGGAAATTAATGTAGCCTCTAACTGCAATTGATTTACATCGGACAAACAGACCAAGCACTATGACTCATAATACAATTACACCTTACCTGTTTGGACTATATTTTTATATTTCATTTTTACTTGCTGCCAGGAACGTTTGGGGCCTGTTGGGTTGCACCTGCGCTCACATCACGTCACAAAATAAAATGTATAAAATAAAAAATAAAATAAAATATGATAAAATAACGTGTTAAATGGGTGGAAATCCCTCGATCAATGTTTAAATTAACACTCACGCATTGACTCTGTCGGCTATGTTTTGCCATGCATGCTCCCTTTCTTTTGCAGCTGTGGCTGTGTTACTTTTTTTCCGCAAAATTTGCATGTTATCAGCATATGCTGCCATCAGAATTTCGGCCTCAAGCGCTGTGAAATACATTGACCGCGCCTTCTTTCCCTCCGTCTCCATGGTGACTCGCTTAATCTGTGCTCCACTAATCAGGGCTTTATGTATCCTCGTGCGCGCGCTTAACTTGGGGTTAAAGCAACTCCGCGTTGACTGAACTAATTGTTATCAGCCTTTCTGAAACCGAATATTCCGAGTTGGACAGTTCGGGGTTACTCAACCCTGAGTATCGTTTTTCACTCTGAGTTTTCTAAACCGGCTTCCTGAAATAGGGCCCAGGAGCACAGTTGGGAACATCATGCTGTGAGGCTGTTTTGGCGCCTCGGGCACAGGAAGCCTTGTTTGGTTGCATGACATCATGAAAAAAGAAATTATGTTGACATTTTGAAGGAGAATTTGCAGAAATCTGCTCATAGTCTAGGCTTAGGTCATCGCTGGGTCTTCCAGCAAGACAATGACCCAAAGCATGCATCAAAATTAGTCCAACAGTTCCTCAAGGATACCAAAACCAAGATCCTGGAGTGGACCATTCAATTTGGAGCAGCTAGAACAGTTTGCAATGGAGGAATAGGCCAAAATCCCTCAGGAGACCTGTGCCAACCTTGTAAAGACCTACTCTAAGAGATTGTTGTCAGTTGTGGCTCAGAAAGGGTACAGTATTGACTATTAATGGGCATGGGGCTAATAATTTTGGATGTTTCATTTTTGCCCTTTTTTCAGTTTGGTGTATCAATAAAATATTGTAATTAAACTTAATGGACATATTTATTTTGGAAGCAGACACACTATACAAAACAAAGACTTGTTGTTAATGGTCATTTTCACACTGAAATCAAGAGTGCTGTCTAATTTCATAACGGGGGCTAATAATTTTGCCATCAACTGTAGCTGGTCTAACTGATCTCAGAACAGTAGTCACCATACCTTCCATCAGTTCAGTCACAGAGTGGCAGTTTATCCACAACGAGCATGCACAAACCACCAGAAACAAGCTGCTGGCCCCTCAGCTTGCTCATCTGCAGTCTTTGTTAACATGAGACGAAAATGCCTTCAGAGAGAGATAAATACACTTTGCCATGAGATGAAACAAGCACAGCTTTCTTCAGCCACAAGTAATGTAAAGGCTGTAATGTAAAGGCTGGATGCACATATTATTTGACAGGTGAGTAGCTTTATGACAGAGCTGTCTGACATGAAAGCCTTGCTTTACCTTGGTACATTTTAATTTAAGTCTATTTTCAGACGTGAAAACACTTCAGGTCACCAAGACTTTTACAGTCTAACATCAAAACCATGATGCTGGTACTGTAGATGAGCTTTTTATTCAATAACTCATATTCAACCACAGTAAATAAAAAAAGGTTCTGTGTAACGCACGGCTCTTAGACAAACGTTTGCAAAAGCATCTTTTCCAAGTGTGCTACTGATGACACTGTCTCATGCATTCTTACACTACTATACACTGCACTATTGCTGGTTGTGCTCCACTCTGGACTGGCTGAGTGAATGTGACTACAGTAAAGCGACTCTGTTGGCAGGTTCAAGCACACGTGTGCACTGTGGTCCCATAGAGCACTGAGCCATGGGTCCCATGCACCTACCTTAAACGTCTTAAACGCCAGGCAGGTTAGGACCCAAATACCTCTCAAGCTGGACTGAACTTAACAACAGCTTTACTGCTGGAGAAAATACAAATAACTAAATACAAAGAACTTAACTGTCAGGAACGCAAACACTCGAGATTGTGTGAAAAGGAATGACAGAAAGAAAGTAAATAGCAAAGATATGTTGAATAGAAAGGTATTAATGAAATGTCACAAAACAATGTTATTAAAATATCATTATGAATTTACAGTTTTTTATTTATACAGGCGCAAATTAAACCCAATTTGTGCCTGTGTGTGTGTGTGTGTGTGTGTGTGTGTGTGTGTGTGTGTGTGTGTGTGTGTGTGTGTGTGTGTCAGAAAAAGTGTTAAGCATAGATAAAAGTGCTGCAAAATGAGACTTTTAGAAAGCACCTTTAGTGTTCGACAGGTTTGCTACAGTATGTTGTCAGAAGTATTCATTCATCTGTCTGCACATGAATATAAACTTGAGTCTCATTCTTAATCCACAGGATATTTAATATGATGCTAGCGCGCCCTTACCAGCTATACCAGCTTTACTAATATTTTATTTTTTTATTAAGTTTATATGTTGTGTTTTTTGTTGTTTGGTTTTTTTAACGATGGACGTAAAGTGTGTCAGTAAAGAGTAATTGATTGAATTATGTGCTGCAGAACACGTGGGCTAAATGTTGTTTTGAAATGCTTCCGTCTCATTATTATTATTATTTTTTTTTATTGAAAGAAATTTTCATATACAAAACAAGTCAAGGAAACAGACCAGAATTGTAACAATTTACATTATAAAGATGGTGAAGCAAGTCATCATAACTTTACAGTGAGAAAATAAAAGTTTCTAGGATAAAGTAATAAGGAACATAGACCTTTTGACACAGGCAGGAAAATTAGAATAGCAAGTATTTTGTGATTTTACAGCATAGTACAGCAGTTTTTTTGTTCATATTTGAAATAAGCTTAAGTGACTTAAAATATTGACAAAAGTAATTCAAGAAGACGGTAAACATAGGAGAGGCATTCTTCCACTTACATAAATGAATAAAAAACTTACATAGCACTATTACAAAATTGACAGCATCTGAGATTTGAGAATCCAGATTGTCCATAAAGTAAAGAATATCCTTAGATGTGAAGGCAGGTACATTGGAAATTCTGAGTGAAACCCAACAGTGTATTTCAAACCAATTCCGTCTCATTATTACCAAGCCAAATTAAAAATCAGCGCCTCCTGCACTTATAAGCGAACAGCTGCATTTAAGCGGAACTTTGCCTATACCTGTCACATCCACGGAACTATTAACAGGGACGGACTTCCGCTTTGATTGCGTAAACGCATTGGTGTATGCGTAGATAAATTAGAATATATCGACTAGGATACTGTTTTCGAGAATTTAATGACGGCTAACGGGTACACATATGTGTAATAAAAACTACTAATTGTTCCAACGATAGATATGTGTAATTCACACAGAGTCGCACAAACAGGAAGTAAGAGGAACAAGCCAATCAGCTCCACGGAGCATGTGTCACGCGTGATGCACCGTCTCTGGTGAAGGTTACGGTTAGTTGAACGTGTGCACTGTTACCTGTTACCTGAAGCAGAGGCTACAGACAGATTCGGGAAACAACGCCGTGCGCAGCTGCGGTAAGAATTAATTTCACTGTCATGAAGCTGTTCGTCTGCTCACAGCAGCTCACAGACACGAGCTGCTTCCTCCTGTTCAAACACAGAACAGTGTTAACAGATCGTCCTGTGACTGCAGCATCAGAAACCCTACTTCTCATATTTACCTGCTGTTCAGTGATCCAGTCTAACTCACTTCGGCGGCCTCCCGGTATAATTTATCCCAGCTGACCCAAAGTAACTAAAAACGTGCTAATATATAATTACTAATAGTTCTAAATCTGCAATACAACGAACCTTGCTAACTGAATTATACGGACCCACGAACGCACTTTGATAAATTAACATAGTTTATAATCTGGATTTAGCGAGTTTATGTAAATCTACGCCGCCGGACTCCTGGGTTTACCGGTGTTCCAGATTAACTGGCGCTTAGATCAACTGGTGTTGGTCGAACAGATGTGTGGCAGTCTTACGTTTCAGGAGCTGCTACCGACAAACCAGTGTATGCGTACTCCACTGTGCTCTGTGAGTGACGTGACCTGCAGTTAAATATTTGAAATGATAAGCAATGGTGCTTCAATCAGAATTCTTTATTCATTTCTATGGAAATGATGCCGTTTCTCCAAGACCAGAACAGGCTGGACTAAATTAAATAATACAGCATATTATACAGTTTATAAACTATAAGAAACAGCTCTAACATATGTTTCCTTTATTAGCTCCTTTAGCAGAGAGAGGAAAAATTGTACTTTCTCATAATTTACAGCAATAATCAACACGACCGACTCAATTGTCTCAGATCATTTAGATGCTAACGCTGCATTTTCCAGTTCAGGCCAAAACCTGCTGATCTTTATTAACCCTTGAATGTCAGGCTGGCATAGCTAGTTATTACATTAGCATCAGGGAGAAGGCTAGCTATACTACGGCACATGGTATGTTAAATGTTTTTGGAGGAATGTTCACTGTGCTTTTTATTGTTTCCTTTACGTATTGTGTATTAGTGCGAGGAAAATAAACCAGTTCTTGCTGTATGCATTCCAGTCATATGCAGCTATATGTCTCAATAAGTACATATTAGAGACGCCCAGAGCTCCATCTCTTCAGCCACCTTCTCTAGCTATCCTGGGGGGACACCAAGGTATTTCCAAAAAATCTGAGAAATCTACTCTTCTGTGTATCCTGGGTCTGCCCTGAGATCTACTTCCAGTGAAACCTACCCAGAACACCTTACCTAGGAGGTGTCAGGGAGGCATCCTAGTCAGATACTCGAACCACCTCAACTGACTCCTTTCAGTGTGGTGGAGTAACAGCTCTACTCCAAGCTCCTCCTGAATAACCAAGCTTTTCACCCTGTCTCTAAGGCGAAGCCAAACCATCGTGTAGAGCAGGGGTGGGGGAACTCTAGGCCTCTAAGGCCGGTGTCCTGCAGGTTTTAGACGTGTCCTTGATCCAACACAGCTGATTTAAATGGCTAAACGACCTCCTCAACTAGGGCTGGGCCATATTATACCGTTCACGGTAATACCGGTATAATGTTAGGCAACGATAGGAAAATGAAATATCCCGATAGAATATGAGTAAAACGCGCATGCGCATTGCCTTTGTTTTCATACGCACATGGCCGATTGTTGAGTGAAACAGATGAACCAGAATTGGTTTGTAAAAATGGTGCAACTTCAGTGATGTGGAACTGGTTTGGTGTTTGTCCGTCAGATACACGACAAAGCACATTTTTTTGCAGAACATGCAAGCGGCCGTCGTTATCCGGTTGTTCAGTGATGACGCGACGAATCCTACTTCCGGGTCTAAAGTAGTCTGCGTTTAATATGGCTTTTGTGTTGTTAACATGTTTAATGTTTTGTATTGTCTTCTATTTGATCTCAAAAAGCTCCTAAAACAGTCAGCGACCACTGTTGACCTCCCTCGGCTTTTATTACCGCTAATCATTTATTTAAGCTCAGTTTTTAAAACCTTATGATGTAACTACAGCCCAGCCCATGCAGCAGTATATGAATGACTAACCTCGTATTGTGGATGGATTATCTCAGTTGTTCTCCTGGCTGAAGTTTGGTCCTTTTACAGCATCCTGCCATGCGATTACATTTGTTCCTGACCACCGAGAACACTCACGTTAACTTTTATCGAGTGGAAAAAAAGTTAGCTTGTTTATATTATGCTAACATAGCTGTGTCGCTAGCGGTCACGTAGCACATCATTATATAGCAGCTAGCCCAACTTCAGTAACCCTACAAACGTCACTGCTGTTTAGTTTTCTGTCTTCATTTATGCTGGAAGTGATAACAGAGCTGTACGTTTGAATTTGTTTCCAAAACCCCGCAGTCAGGACATGCTATATTGTATTTAGATAGAAGCTAGCGAGCTAACTCCATGCTAACTTCTAACTCCGTTAAATGTCATAAATTCCGTTTTCATGGATGCCTGGATGTTAAACTCAATTGTTACACCTGGTAGAGCAGAACGCTGATCATTTTATTAAAGATGAAAGATGAAAGACTTTAGACAGTTTTTCAACTCTCAGTAATGCCATAGGGTTAGGGTTACCTAACCCTAACCGGATTGTCGGACTAAGATGCTATTAAATCTGGGAGTAATCTGGGTCCTAAACTCTATATCCTTCAGGTCAAACAACACTGCAGCATCACTGAGAGTTAAAAACTGTCTATATTCTTTCATCTTTAATAAAACGATCAGCATCGCTGCTTTACCAGGTGAAACTATGAAGTTTAACTTCCAGGCATCCATGAAAACAAAATGTATTACATTTAACGGAGTTAGAAGTTAGCAGGAAGCTAGCGGAAGTTAGCTCGCTAGTTTCGCTAGTTACCTAAGCATGATATAGCATGTTCTGACTGAGAGATTTCTGAAAAAATCAAACGTACAGCTCTGCTATCACTTCCAACATAAATGAAGACAGGAAACTAAACAGCAGTGACGTTTGTAGGGTTACTGAAGTTGGGCTAGCTGGTATTAATGATGTGCTACGTGATCGCTAGCAACACAGCTATGTTAGCATAACATAAACAGTGAAGCTGGAGGATGAACGCTAACACTTTTCCACTTAAAAAAGTTAACGTGAAGGTTCTTCATGGTTAGAGACAAATGCAATCGCATGGCAGGATGCTGTAAACGGACCAAACTTCAGTCAGAAGAACAACTGAGATAATCCATCCACAATACCAGGTTAGTCATTAATATACTGCAACAACATGGGAATAGAGCAGCTGTGATAGAATACAGCATTAATGAATCAATGGTACAGAAGTGGAGGAAGCAAGAAGAATGAGTTTAATAAAGTTTGATTTATCTGACTGCTTTGTTTCGCTTAATGTGCCTTATAATCCCGTGCACCTTATGGTCCGAAAAATACGTACTGCACACTGCAGTTTAATTCAAATTCAAATTTTATTTGTCACGTACACAGTCATACACAGTACGATATGTAGTGAAATGCTTGGACAACTGCTCGTGACCTAAAGAAAACAAAAAAGGAAAAGGCTATGAATAAGATAGGAAATAAATATGAAAAATTAAAAAGGGTAAATTTAACTAGGAAGGAATAAAATATAAATTAAGGTTAAAAAGGAAATAACTGTACAACACAAATTAGAATGAAGGGTAAATTTAACTGGGAAGAATAAGATAAAGATAAATATATAAATTAAAGTTGAAAATAAAATAACTGTACAACAAAATACACAATATAGAACTATATAAGAATGTATGAAGAAATCTAAATATAAATAAATATATACACAATAACAGCAGCTGTACAAGTATTAACCGGAAATGAAGAATATAGTGACCAGTGTTGTGCAAAAACAAAGTCCAGAAAGTCCAGTGTGTGTGTAAGAACTGTATGTGTGGGTCAGTACTGTGTGGTGGTGTGATTGAGAGACCGTATCGCCTGCGGGAAGAAGCTCCTCCTCAGTCTCTCTGTGTTGGTCTTCAGGGAGCGGAATCGCTTTCCTGACCTCAGCAGAGAGAACAGTCTGTTGTTGGGATGGCTGAGGTCCTTCACCATCTTCCTGGCCTTGGTCCAGCACCGCCTGCTGTAGATTGAGTGCAGGTCAGGGAGCTCGGAGCGGATGGTGCGCTCAGCTGACCGCACAACCCTCTGTAGAGCTCGTCTGTCCTGCATGGTGCTGTTCCCGAACCAGGTTAAGATGTTTCCCGCCAGGATGCTCTCTATGGTGCACGAGTAAAAGTTCCTGAGCACCTTGGAGGGCAGTTGGAAGTCTCTCAAGCGTCTGAGGTGGTAGAGACGCTGTCGGGCCTTTTTCACCACGGTGTTGATGTGACAGGACCATGACAGGTCCTGCGTGATGTGAACTCCGAGGTATTTGAAGCTGTCCACTCTCTCCACTGGGCACTCGTTGATGACGGGGGTCTGGTAGTTCCTCTCCTGCTTAGTGCTGAAGTCCACTATCAGCTCCTTTGTCTTACTGACGTTTAGAAGGAGGTTGTTCCTCTGGCACCAGTTCTCCAGATTCCTAATCTCCTTCAGGTAGCACCTCTTTTTAACTTCAGTGGATATTATACATGGTTATGCTCAGGATATGTCGGCCCATTTCTGCTGGAAATGCCTTTTGGTTAAACTTTCAGCAAGGAATTTGCATTTGCACTGTTACATTTTTATAAAGCTTTAATGTACATAAAAACCAGCTTCTTGTTTAAGTGAAAATAAATGGAAGGTTGTCTTTTTGCACTAGTAATGTTGTGGAGTTGTATTTTGTCTCGCATCAATTATATCATCAGTTATATCGTTATCGCAAATTTTCAAATATATATCGTGATAAATATTTTTGGCCATATCGCCCTGCTCTATCCTCAACATGCCTTCAACTTCTCCAGACGCCTGGTAATGAACTAGCCTCTCACATTACCCCTTGAGTGCAAACTAGAACTTCTGTCCATAAATATTATGAGCAGAACAGCAGAGTCCAAAACCCACTGAAGATGAGTCTGACTTTTTGCTTGCAGCGCAGACTAAACTTTCACGGGAACTGGACCCTGCAACAACAGGCTCGATCTACCCTGGAAGCCGAGGGACACGGTCAAATGCTTGCTCCAAATCCACAAAACACACACAGGCTAGTTGGGCAAACACCCAGACGCCCTTGAATGTTTTGAGTGGATGCAGAGCTGGTCCAGTGTTCCCTGACAAGCACGAGCATCTCATTGTTCCTCCAAATAAAAGCCCAAAATTTTCAGTCCTTTCTTACCATGAAGATGAATCACCAGCTCTTTTAAAATCATAGAAAAACTTACGTAGAATACTTTTACACATGCTACGTTCATGTAACTTTCATGCTGATTAAACAGATAAGTTGTACCACAAAGAAACCCAAAAACTGTACATTGTGATATGACGTGTTCAGAGTTATTTTTCACATTTTTCTTTGCTACGTAACTCCATATATCCTGTTTGACTTATTTGATGTCTTCAGTTTGTATCTACCATGTAGAAAGTAGTAAAATAAAGAAAAACATTAAATGAGAAGGCGTGTCCAAACTCGTCACATGTCAAACTCTGTGTTTCTTGTGCTCATTAGTGATGGCAGGCCTGTCCAGCTATGCATTGCGGATGGCCAGACTGAGCTCACAGATCTTTGGAGAAGTTGTGCATCCAACTGACCCGAAATCTATGAAGGTGGTCCAGCTATTCCAGGAGCCCCCTACGGCCAAGAGGAAGGAGGTGTATGACTGGTACCCACACCACAAGATTTACTACGCTGTGACCCAGAAGCTCAGGTTCATGGGTCTGTTCAGGTACAGTAGAATACACCTGTGATACGATGACAGTATTTACCTTTGTAAAAGCAAACATGGCTTCATTTATTTTTACACAGTTGTGCTGCCGAAACACAGTTTTAAGAGTTTGAAAGTTCATTTATTTTCATTTTTTGTGGGATTTACAAAAAATGTAAAACAAATCCCACTGTTGTCATTTTCTCCCTTTAAAAATGTAATTACATTACAGTGTAGCTGTGATAATGAACTGATTACTGAGGATCATCCTGATTAAACAACAAACAAATATGAATATGCACGCTAAAATGTTTTGTTTGAAATACATTTTATAAATAATTGAAATTCAGCATGAAACACTGTAACATACAATAAGTATGTCAGTGCAGGAGCAGTTACATTGTTTCCAAAACCAAAAAAGATAACCAGGAAATGAAGGCCGGAATCCGAGAGAGATCCAAGCTCCGCCCTCTGCCTCTGTCGGTGCCTCTGAAATTTATCAGCAACTATTTATTACTTCAGAAAGAATTTGAAGTGACTTATAAATGGGGGAAATGTGAACTGCAGTTGCTTCAGAAAGTACTCTGACTGCTTTGCCTTTTTGTTAAAAACTGAAATGACTCATTTACAAAGTATAAGACGCTGAATGCAATATTTTAAAGGTCATCATGGGTAAGTCTGAAGAAGAGGGGTTTTTGCTTTCTTTGATTTTGGCATATTGGACAGCATCTTCGATTCTATCCATAAATGTTAATAATGTAAAGTGTGGTTCACGTCTGGACTGTAACTCGACGACAGTTCTTGTTTCTCAGCGTCGGCGTGGCCTCGTGCTGACCCACTGCTCACTGGAGCAGGCTTTCCTACCATGGAGCTGTGCAGCCTGACAACATCCTGCCACTCCCACACTTCCCACTAGTTTTTAATCACTTAATTATTCTTAATTACTAATTACCTTGTTACTAGATATGCATTTTTTTTTTTGTTATTTATTCTGTTTTGTGATGAAATGTTTCTGTGGCCCAGATATTGAACTGATTGTATCCAAATGATTTGCTGTATTATTCATCAGGGGTTTTGTTTCTTTGTGTGCATTCAAAGATCATGTGATGTGGAGGTGTCATCATTTATCCTATTATGGAAAATGTCTCATGGTTACCAGTGGGGATTTTAACCACGCCTCACTAGACAACAATAAGTTGAGTGTGCACTAGAACAGAGAACGAGACATGCTGTGTGGTAATGCTGCTAAAGCGTACAGTGTCACTGGAGTTATTAGGCTGGCTATTTGAAGCTGCTGAGGCACTGCAGGGGTCCACGTGCTGGAATAAACTTTGTAAACCACATTGAGAGGACATTAATAAGCTGTATGACAGAGTATATCACATTTGTGTGTAACTACACCATCTTACCATCTCAGGGCTGTATGTTGCTCTGTGAACAAGAAGCTTTGGCTCATTACTTCCCTTAAAGACATGTTTAACTGCTCAGATCAGGGGTGTCCAACTCCGGGCGTCCTGCAGGTTTTAGATGCGTCAGCTGATTTAAACGGCTAAATGACCTCCTCAGCATGTCTTGAAGGTCTCCAGAGGCCTGGTAATGAACTCATCATTTGATTCAGGTGTGATATCTAGATCCCATCCCTGGCTTAAAGCTTCCAGGTCAGGCTCCCACTGAGGAGGGTCCAGCATGAGCTGAAGGCGAAGCTGAAGAAATACAAGGACTACTAGCTAACAGCACAAGATGTGTGGAGAAGAATGAAGAACATCATTGTGTTTAAGTGACTGGTTGTGGCTCAGTGATGGGAGAGTGGGTCATTTACCAGTTGGGAGGTCGAGGAAACGATCCCCAGCTCCTCATGTCCATGTGTCAAAGTGTCCCACTGAACCCCGGTTGCCCCCGATCCGTCCATCAGAGTGTGAATGTTAGATAAACCTCCTTCACTGTATGATTGTGTGTCCATTTAATGTCCACCAGTCCACTGAATGTGACAGACGACCAGTGAGCAGCCTGGAGGGAGCAAATTAGCTGCACCACTCCTCCACCAGGTTTAGCTCACAGCCCTCTGCTGCCTCCACACCCTTACTGCCTTTAGTGATCACTCCCAGTGGGAAACAAAAAGTTCAAATGGGTCACAGATATACTCGGGTAGCTGTTATGTTACATACCCGTGCAGGTAAAGTCTGCAGAGATGTCCTGTACACTTATTCAAAGTGGCTTTCATCTGCTTCACCAGAAAGTCCTGAGTGATGGTTTGATAACTTTCTGAAGAGATCTCATGGGAAAAACAGTGAAACCCATAAGATGAAGTGCATGTAAGTATGGCAGAAGTAAAAACTGTGTCTAATCAAATCCTTAATTTGTTTTAGAGATGAGCATGAAGACTTCAAGGAGGAGATGCGTCGTCTGAGGAAACTGAGAGGAAAAGGGACGCCAAAAAAAGGAGAGGGGAAGAGAGCAGGCAAGAAGAAGTGAACTGCGGCACGTCTGCTCCCCGAGGCTGCACAGGACTCGTTCTTCGGTTTCTCTGCAGGCTGCGCTGGCTGCTGTGCACCGTGGTGGGATGCTGGTCCTGAGAGCGTTCCACTGGTCGGGACTGTCCTGTGTTTCTGTGCTGACAGGACGCTCTGAGTCGGGCGTATCCCACTTCTGTTAAATTGTGTATGTCATTGAACGTGTGTGTGGCAGTAAGAGGGCTGTGCTTATATCTTATTACCACATAATAATGTCTTTCTGTCGAACAGCCCAGGAGGAAGCGTTAGCTGCTGACAGCTTGACTGTGGATGGAACGGCTCAAATGTATAGAAGTAGACACCCTTATTTTTCACAATAAAGTCAATGTGATAAATCTGCAGAGTGGTGCAAAACTTTGTTTTATTGCCTTTAAAGAGGAAAAATCAAGAAGAGGGAGATAAAATCCCTCCATGTAGGAAACGCTCAGCATATGCTGCTATCCACAGTCTGTTTTTCTGGGTCGACCTGCGGACGTGAGCACATGTGGGCATTAAACAATTTGTGGCTGGTGGAGTCATCGACCAATCGGGATGATTGCCAGCTCCTACTGTCCAAGAGTTGAAGTATCATTGGGCAACATACTGAACCCTGAGACACTCCGATGGATGCACTGTGTGTGTGTGTGTGTGTGTGTGTGTGTGTGTCGGTCGGACAGTACTTGGGCACAGATAAAAGCACTATGAGTGTGTGCGACTGGGTGAATGAGGCGTCTCATTGTAGGAGAAAGTGCTTCGAGTGCTCACATTGAGTATTAAGGTGTTCTTTAAGTAGCAGCCCATCCATTTACTGCATTCTGACTTCCGTGACATTAAGAAAAAGGTTTGCTATTGCAGGTAGTTACTAAACCAGGGGTGGGGAACTCCAGGCCTCCAGGGCCCGTGTCCTGCAGGTCTTAGATGTGTCCTTGATCCAACACAGCTGATTTAAATGTCTTGAAGTTCTCCAGAGGTCTGGTTATGAACTAATCATTTGATTCAGGTATCTAGAACCTGCAGGACACTGGCCCTGGACACTCGGAGTTCCCCACTTGTGATCTATAAGAAGGCTGCTAAATAAGTGGACTTGATGTGAATAAAAGTTTTAATTCAATGTTGTTAATGTTCGGGTCTCACTGCATTGCCATCTTTGTGCGGACTTGTTTCACTTTGGCTGAGCGCACACTCATAATCAGCCACGGTTCGCTCATGCTAAGCCCGCGTTTCCTACCACGCTGAGTACTGAGGGGCTGAATCCTGGCACTCGGCACGCTTCAGGTCATCCAGGGTTGCTACCTTGCAGCACTCCTGCGTGTTCAGCGTCCCGGGCACCTGAAGCTCCCAGCGGCAGGTGGACGCAGGAAGGCTGTAAGAAGCTCTCCGTGGTCGTTTCAAACGGCTGCTTTTTCCGGTTTTACTCAATCGAAAGAGGTCCGGAGCTCTGGCCCGTGCCTCTGTCTCCCCCTCCTGTCCTCAGCACCGGGTTGCGTTTTCCTCGATTATTTTCCACTCACTTTCTCGCAGTTTAAAATGGCGGCGTTGAGCAGCGCCGAGTCCCCACCGCCCGTCTTTAACGGAGACACTACGGAGCTGGAGCCGGGCAGGGAGCGGGGCCTGGACGAGCTGGGCGCCGGACTGGACTCGTCCTGCTCGTCGGGGATCCCGGGAGGTCCGCAGGATGAGGAGGTAAGCCCCACGGCAGCGGGTCGAAGCTGGGCAGGGGACACGGGCTCCGAGCGGAGGTAATTGGATGGAAAGGTTCGGGAAACGGCGGCTGGAGCCCGGGCGGTGGGCTGCGGCGCAGGGCTGGAAATGCGAGCGGCCCCGGCTCACCCGGCTCGCGGGCCGGGCTCCGTGGCGGGGGAAGCTCCGGCTGCGGAGCTGTGTTTGTGTCGGGCCTGCTCGCCTCTCTCTCCAGCCTCACAGCATCTGCAGCCTGCTGCGACAACAGCACGCGCACACACGCGCGCGCGCACACACCGCTGTTCAAAGCACAAAGACGCAGTTTAGCGCTTCGTGCTGTGTCGTGCGGAATTGTGGTGCGGACAAAGTTTGACGGCGAGCGGTGCTGCGAGGCCTGCGCTCAGAAGGCTGCTGATGGTGGACCTGGAGGCTAGCCCGAGTCGTGCTTGTGGTGTTTGAGGTGTGATTTAGCCACACATGCTACTTTTATTAATGTGACACAAGATGACTAGCATCTCCGCCACACGCAGAAAGCATCAGGCTGTGTCCTCAGCGGTGTCTGCACCGACCACGTAGCCTAGCCTTGATTCTGCAGGTCACAGGCCTCCCTGCTGGACCACGACAGCAGCCTGAAGCACACAGCAGGATAGCTTTGTGTCAAAGTTTGGAACAAACAACACTGCAGCTCATGTCTGACGTGAACACATTTCCCTGCTATGTCATACAGAACATGAGAAATCCGCCACAGGCTTTGGCAGCACCCATCTTAGGGTCCAGAACTCCTGCGTGAACATTTGGAGAGTTCCTGTGTCCACGTCTCTGTCACTGCAGCTCTGTAGTGAGAGCTCCAGGGGCCCGAGCTCACCAGAGACTAAAAATAAAAGCATTTAAAGACTGCGCTGACTCTGGATTTTAGTCTCTGGAGCATCTGCGGTGTGTCGGCTACAGGCGCATCTGCTGGTTTCTCTTCAAATGTCTATAATCACAAATCTGAGCTCAGGTATGACTCTGAGGCCTCTTCATAAAATGGTTTAGTGTGTATTTTAGACGGGCTTTTTTCATGTGCCATTCAAACTCCAGATAACATCTGGTGCAGGACGTGTTGAGCCCTGGTCCACGCACACAGCGCTGTTTTATATGAAAAACTGCAGATGAAGTCTCACCTGTCCCTGCTGCACCGTTCTCCAGCAGCTGGTTTGAGTCGTTTCTGGATCATCTCTCTCACTGCGTCTCACTGAGAATATTCCATGTTTGGTTACAATTATTTTATGGCTCTAACTACAGATTTAAAGGGAAACCTGGGATGAATATTTTGGTGCCTCAGTTTGGACATCACCCTGAGAGGATTAAACGTCGTCCCAGAACACTGGGATAATTCAAGGCTGCTAACTGTACAGTACAGTTAGCAAACTGTGATCCATCGGTTATCCAGCTCTGCTGCTGTGCAGCTGGATAGATAATCAGTCTTTATTCCCTAACACGACCTTCATGTTGCATTTCCCAGCATGTCTCAAGCTGTGTAAACATAAACAATCAGTAAACCGTAGCTTTTCTGACCCTATTTAAAAATAATCATTTCTAAATTCTGTAAGTTTGTGTTTGGCTGGTTATTGAATTAGCTTCACTCTGATTATTTTCAGGACTTTGTAGGACGGAGAAACTATTTGAACCTGCTGTGCATTGGAAACTTGGATAAAGCTCCAAAGTGACTGAAATAATGAGAGCTGAGCTTGAGCTGCGACTGTGTTTGATGGTGCTTTTCAGTTGCATTCTGTTCATCCAAAATTGGACATGTCAGTAATGGATTGCATTTATAAAGCGCTTTTCTAGGCACCCAAATTCCACTATTCATTCACTCTCACATTCACACACTGCAGGCAAACCACAGTTGTAGCCACAGCTGCCCTGGGGCAGACTGACAGAAGCCAGGCTGACATATCGCGCCATCGGCCCCTCTGGCCATCACCAGTAGGCGGTAGGTGAAGTGTCTTTGCCAAGGACACAACGACCAGGACAGAGAGAGCTGGGGGATCCAACCGGCAACCTTCCGGTTACAGATGAGCTTTCCAACCCCCTGAACCAACTGTCACAAATGTCCATATTTAGAGGATGTGGTCATTAATGTGTGACCAGAGTCCAGGTGTGGAAATCCCAGGAAGCTGATTCTGTTCATCTGGACCATGAACACAATCAAAAGTTGATTCATGTCCAGATGAACAGAATCATGGAGACTTTTGAGAGCTGGGTCTGTCTGTTTGCAGCAGAGCTTGACACTGAGAGGAAAAGTCAAAGATGGTGAGGATGGATTATTGATTAATGCTGGGGAACCGTTGTTTTAACATTAGTATAAAAAGCTTTGGTTTAAAAATTCCCCCTTTTTTCTAAAAGTGCAATTCACATCACTTAGTGTGTGCACAGAGCACCACATCCAAACAGTACTGGTTTCCAGGTATGAGGAGTTGGACCATAAAACATTATCAGTGGAAACCAGCTGTCCAGCGATCAGCTGTGAGCCACACACGGAGGTCAGATGACAGGTGGGGGGGAGCAAAGTGCAGAGATGACCAGCAAAATGCGATGAAGCACAGGAGAGCAAAGATGTGGAGTAGTGGCATAAAAAGCTTGAAGGAGTGGAAGAGAGGAGGCCAGAGGAGGCATCGCTTCAGTTTCCCAAATGATTGATCCTCAGCAACAGAGCAGCTGTTCATGGGCAGCGTTAGGACAGTGATACGTTTTTAAGAAAGCCAAACTTTTGTTTCAGAGACAGATCAAACGGCTAACTGCAGGCCTGGAAGGGAAATCTCGCTCTAGCATCTCCTGACTCGAAGCGATTAGCCGCCTCCTAACGCTAAAGAGTGTAAAGCAGTCAAAGTGCATCGCTGTGGTGGAGAATCGTCAGTGAGATCAGAGAAGACATAGAAATGTCCGCTTTCCTTCCCAGACATCAACATCATCTTGTCTCCTCTGCCTGTCTTCTTTGACAATGAGACGATGCCATGTATTTATTTGTTATCTGTTTATTAGAGATTTGAGCCTCTTTTATTTCCCCAAGTTAATTAGTATTGTTTTACATTTATATATTTGTTTTACACGCATGAAGTCAAGTGTATAGAGCGTAGCATGATGACCGCTGCATGACCCTGCGGCTAAACTGAATGCCTCACATTACACTTCCACTATAATAAAAACAGTTTTGTCTGAGAGGGCCATGAGATATGAGGAAAATCTGATATCACGATATTTTACCTGATATCACGATATTTTACCTGATATCACGATATTTTACCTGATATCACGATATTTTTATCTTATATCACGATATGTGTAAATAACCTTAAATGTTACTTTTAACCATGTAGTGCCGAACACTGCGCTGGTTTACTTATTCAAATAGACATGAAAACAAAAAGTCTGAATGAATTGAAACGTTTGATTTTAAACACAGAGGTTTTCCACAAATGACTGTGACAGTAAGTCTGTGGTCAACACTAAAAAGGTGCTCTGTTTTATTTATAACATATAAAAATGAGAAAATAAAAAAATGTGATGACCTCAGATTACAGACACAAGTCTGGATAGCGACTATAAAACGACTAACCGTCACAGGTAGTTTATTTAACTTGTTCTTTGGTGCGTAGAGAGACGGTCACATGCAGAGTTGTAAACATTCATTTTGCAGGTAATGACTTTTCAGCTGGTGGAAGACATTTGTGGCGCTGCTGCCTTTTAGCGACAAGTTTTACAGCATGTTTGTCAAATTACCGCATTTTGCAAACAGCTTATGATAAAGCGATTTCAGCCATGGAAAAACTAGCGATACATCGAGTAAGTTCGATATATCGCCAGCCCCTACTTCACAAACATAAAAATAGACTTAGTGTTATACTAATACTTGAACTGATTACCGCTATAAACAAAATAACTGCATTTATTTTGCTAGTACTAGCTACGAACAGGCAATGACAGAACAGCAGTGAAAATGTATGCTATGTCTTCTAATGATGCTGCCTAAAGGAAGCATGTATAATGTAAACAGAATTGGTCCTAGCACTGAGCCCTGTGGAACTCCATAATTAACCTCAGTGTGTGAAGAGGACTCTCCATTTACATGCACAAACTGGAGTCTATTAGATAGATATGATACAAACCACTGCAGCACAGTACCTGTAATACCTACAGCATGTTCTAATCGCTCTAATAGGATATTATGGTCGACAGTATCGAACGCTGCACTGAGGTCTAGCAGGACAAGCACAGAGATGAGTCCACTGTCAGAGGCCATAAGAAGATCATTTGTAACCTTCACTAAAGCTGTTTCTGTGCTGTGATGAGCTCTGAAACCTGACTGAAACTCTTCAAATAAACCATTCCTCTGCAGATGATCTGTTAGCTGTTTGACAACTACTCTTTCAAGGATGTTTGATATGAAAGGAAGGTTGGAGATTGGCCTATAATTAGCTAAGACTGCTGGGTCTAGAGATGCTTTTTGAGTAAAGGTTTAACTACAGCCAGCTTGAAGGCCTGTGGTACATAGCCGATTATTAGAGATAGGTTGATCATATTTAAGATCAAAGCATTAATTAATGGCAGGACTTCTTTGAGCATTTTGTAGGAATGGGGTCTAAAAGACACGTTGATGGTTTGGAGGAAGTAATTATTGAAGTTAACTCAGAAAGATCAATTAGAGAAAAAGAGTCTAACTTAACATCAATGGTACTAAGAGTAGCTGTAGATAATATTACATCTGTGGGATGATTACTGGTAATTTTTTCTCTAATGATAAAAATGTTATTAGTGAAGAAGTTCATGAAGTCATTACTAGTTAACGTTAAAGGGATTGTTGGCTCAACAGAGCTCTGACTGTTTGTCAGCCTGGCTACAGAGCTGAAGAGAAACCTGGGGTTGTTCTTATTGTCTTCAATCAGTGATGAATAGTAAGATGTTCTGGCTTTGCGGAGGGCTTTCTTATAAAGCAACAAACTATTTCTCCAGGCTAAATGATG